CACCCGGTCGAGTCGACTCCAGACTTCGTCCTTCGCCAACTCCTCTGACGACGCACGGTCGGGATCCGTTGGGCCGGAGTACATCCACATCGATCGCCTCCTCTCTGCTAGCGGGGCGACCCGACGGCAGAAGAAGGTGTGGAACACCCACAGCCTATCGAGGCCATGCTGCACCAGCTTCTGGAGCTCTGCCTCGATGACCTCCAGCTTGTTCTGCCGACTGGAGGGCCCCCATGACCAGCTCTCCCGCCTCTTCGGCCTTCTTTCGGTGAACAGCGGGAACGGCGCCTCTGCTGGGTTCCTAATGTAGAACCACTCCCCATGCCACCCCCGATTGGAGTCGTAGGGGGAGTACACGGGGTAGGAGCCCTGTGGCCTCGGCTTCTTCTACAAGGTGAAGCCCCCAACCGGTGTGGCCCTAGGTGGCTTCCCCTCCGACAAGGCTCGCCCGGTGAAGATCCGCCGGAAGAGGTCCACGTGTGGCTCCATCCCGAGGAAGGCCTCATAGACGATGACGAAGCCGGCAACGTACAGCACCTCAGTCGGATTGAGGTGATGCAGCTCCAGGCCCCACTCATTGAGGAGCCCGTGCAAGAACCAGTGTGCGGGATATCCTAACCCGCGCTCATGGAAGGCGAGGAAGGAGACAACCTCATCGGTCCAAGGACACGGAACAGCCTCCCCTGGCATAGGAGCCCTCTAGTACGCCACCTCCTTCGGCGGAAGCAGACCCTTCTCGACGAAGGCGGCCAGCACCGCCTCATCTACATTGGATGGCCTCCAGTTTGACATTGCGCTCTGGATTCACGAACGGATCTGTGAGTTCTCCTCTCCCTCGCTTTACCCTCTTTCTCCTAGGAACTGCCACGGCGCGCGAACGGGCTTGGTGAAAAGGAAGAAGGGGGAGAGGCAACAGTTGGAGAATAGGCGAAGGAATGGGACAAAAATCCTCTTCCTTCTCCTATTTAAGGAGGAGAGGCAGTAGTTGGAGAAATGCGAAGTATTAGGGTGAAAAACCCTCTCCCTTCCCCTATTTAATGCGGATAGCCATGCGGTGGGACGCGTCCTGACTGATGGGACGCGCCCTACCCAACGAAACGATGTCTGGTTAAACACGACGTGGCCTGGGCATGGCCCACCACTACCGCAACTCAGGCACAGGAAACAAGGCACAATCGCACGCAAATGGCCCTCCGCCTTCCTAGGCAAGGCTTGGAAGGGCCCACCAATAGGATCTTTGTCGATGAGAGACCAACGAGCTTCCTGAGTTGATCGGACGACTCAGGCGACTACCGAGAGATAGGTAAGGAGCATCGGGACGCCCCATGTGGGCCATGCTGTCTCTATCATGAACGACGAACACGAATCCCATTCGAACATATTCGATAAGAACTCCTCAAACCCGTCACTCGAGTCATCAAGGTAACTTTACCAAACCCTCTTACTTTATTTTTTGATGCATGATCATTCATTCATCCATTCTCATGCACGCATTCACACATTCATTCATACAATCATTCATTCATCCCATACATCCAAAGCATCGCATATGCAATTAATGCATCACAACGCTTCGTGTTGCGTCACGAAGCAGTAGTTGCCTCATTCAACATGAGCGACGATCGATCGGGGTTCAAAGGTCGACCCACGAAGGGATCGAGGCCGCCTCACGTCAAACAGAGCCAGGGGAGAAAACGCAGATGAGCCCCAACGGCCCTTGCTGGTATGCTCAGAAGCAGACAGGGTCATCTCGACCTTCTCATTCGATCCTAACCTTGAGCCATGCCCACTAGACCATCTCCATCGAACCCAATGGGAGGGGGGCGGTGGGCCACCGAGTCGAAATCTCCGGAATGACCCGGGCATCGGGCGCCGAGGAAGAGCGGGTTAAGGACAAGCTCAACCTCCATGGAATGCCACATGAGGGCTATGCCGGGGACCCCATTACGGATAATGATTTGTTTTCATATTTCTGTTCGGATTCGGACCGGATTCCGCTCGAACACGCCTGGTGAATAGTGAGCTCACGGTATGAATCGGATTGGAGAAGGTCACTCGAGCCATCGAGGCAATATATATATATATATATCATAGCCCCATTACACCACTCTATGAGTTCATAATCCATCTAGATTAAGCGAAAGACTAAAGCTAAAGCGGATGGGGTAATGCATGGAACTAGACCAACATCCCTACCAAACCCGGCATGAGTAGAAATAGGGCTCATGGGTCTCATGGAGTCATGGTCATGGATTCAAGATCTACAACTTATATAGGCCATTTTTTCATTTGAGAAAGTTTGAACAGAAATCAACCGACCACGTTTTAGGTCATGGATTCAAGGACAAACATGTTTGGCAAACAACCGAGCTATGGCAATTGAGACACTGAGATGAGTATTCAGAGTTTTTCATCTGCGGCCCATTTGAGCAAGTTTGACCAAGTCAAATTTGGTCAAATGAAAAAAAGAACTCTAAGTGCTAAGATAAAGGCCTGAATACCAAGTTTGTTCAACTCATCAAGATCTACAATTCGGTCAACTTTCATTTGAGATAGTTTGGACGGCTTAAAGCTTACAAACTACACCCACCCAAGGTGCACTCATCAAGATCTACAATCCTTATATAGGTCATTTTTTCATTTGAGAAAGTTTGAATAAAAGTCAAAAATTTCCAAGTGTGATTTTAGAAAGTCTATATGAGATTCAAGAATTTGTGACTAGTGTTTGATAAAATCAAATGGGAAAATGGCTATATCAATTGTAGATCTTGCTGAGATGACAAACCCACCGGGTGTGCTCATTTGAGCAAGTTTGACCAGTCAAATTTGGTCAAATGCAAATCTAAAAATCCAAATTGACGAGTTTTCTACCAAGTTTGTTCAACTCATCAAGATCTATAATTGTTGTTTTGGTCAACTTTCCATTTGAGGTTTGATGGTTCAAATTGTCGGGTCTATAAACCGGGGTCCCTAATGGGTTTAAATTTTAAATGATTTGCTTGTAAACCAAAGTTTCATAAAGATCTACAATTTTATTTTGATCATTTCTCCATCCAAGGTCGTTTGAATAATATTCGGACGATATTAAAAACGGATATATCCGATACTTAACGGATTATCCGATATCCACGGATATCGATGATATTACATTCGTATTTGATATCCGCCTAAGATATCCATTTTATTATCCGTATCCTAAAAAATTACGGATATCCGAATAACTATCCGATAAGTTCATAGCGATCCGATCCGAATAAATATCCGCACTGATTTTCATCCATACTGGGGTTACACCCAAGGATTATACCCGAATCGCCAAGGGCTCTGTCGGGACCCGGGGACGCGCGCTTCGACTCGACCGCCTCCTCGAAGAGCGGCTCGGCCGGAAGGCTGGCCAAGAGGGACGTCACCCGCTCTCGCCCGGAAGGCTCGCCAAGGAGGGACGACCGCTTCCGACTCCCGACCAGGAATATACCGAACCTCTGCTTACGGCTCTTCTCCGACCGGCGCGGTCGGAGCTGACTGGGAATGACCGGCCGGTGACACCCGCTCGGTGAGGACCTAAGAAATTAGGCGGAGCAGATAAGGCAAGGCGCCCAAGTCAACCATAATACCGAGGACCGTACCCTACACACCTGCAGGATAGTACTGTCATGCCATGCGAAGGGTACTTTGCAGCCTTCCAGACATGTCAGGACACAAACAGTGTTGTAGGTGCGGACATTTGTCCTACAGTATGGTAGGCGCCAACATTTGCCATACCAGAAGACCACGATGGAGTCTACCACATGCATCTGGGCGTCAACAATATTGTGTGCCCCGACAAACTGTCTTATACCCGACGGCGTGGGCAACAAGACTAGGAAACACACACTCTCTCTCTCTCCTAACTTGTAAGGCCGTCCCCTTCATCTATAAAAGTGATATGCTCCCTCCTAAAAGGAGGACGGACAAAACAGTTCATTTCAACTCCCTCTGCTAGGCTTTAGACATTCTGAGCACTCGAACAGCTTCACAGCTCTAGAACTCTAAAGCTACAAAGAGCATACGTTCGAACGCTTAGCACACGTTGGAGCTCCTGTCACTCTTGGCCCTTCAGTCTAGGGTCCGACCGGACCTCTGACGCCCCATCTTATTCGCACTCGTTTGTAACCCCACGACAAACTTCGAGCACCAGGGCTCAGTAATAAAGTCACCGACCGACTCAAACTGGACGTAGGGCACGTTGTCTGAACCAGTATAAACCATGTGTCATTGAGTGGTAGGCCACATCCGATCATAACGTACGGCAAAACGATAAATATTTACTTGTTGGTCACTTTTCGCACCGATAATTAGCATTTATTATAGCAAAGAAAAGATTGTCGTTTAAAAAAAGATTGCTTAGATGAATGTTTTGTCAATCTTCCTTTTTTTATATTAGCTCAAATTAAAAGAGTATACCGATATGGATAAGACTCCATTTCAAGCAAGAATTCATAGCAGATTGTTCCACTGTTGTGAGGTTATATGAAGGAATTCAACTTCTTAATTAATGATTAATGATACACCCAACCGAAAAAAAACTTGGACTGAACTCAAACATCTTTTCTAGCGCTAGAGATGTTATCTCTCTCTTTTTTTGGTGGCTTATAGAGATGTTATATCTTAGACATTTCAAACGAAGCATGCCGGTCGAACAAACGCTTGCACATTTCCTGTTGAACTGAAGAAGCATATTCAGTGTTGTCAAGGTGCAAGAAAGCCACAGCAGCTGCTCCATGAATTTACGTATACTGCGCGCGTGCTATATATATTTTATCAATCTCGACGCTTTAAAGAAAAAGAACCACAAACGCTACCTTGCAGCACTCAAGCATGCAGCAGCGAGCCAGCCACTGCCACAATACACGCAGATTATTATGAACACGTACGCATGCAAAGCCAAATCCAGATGGTTCAGTGGGCATGGGCAAGAAGGGGGGAAAAAAACGCATCGAATCCTGGTGAGGACGACGGATTCAGAGGCTCCTGGCGATCATCTCCTGACACCGGTCGTACGACTCCTGCTTCTCCAGCAAGAAGTTGGCACGGCACCTCGCGATGAACTGCTCCGCTAGCCGGTCGATCTCGTTCCCGCCGGCGGCGGCGCCGTCGACGTCGGAGTCGTCTTCCTCCCCTTCGTCGTCGTCCTCCTCCACGACCACCACCTCGTCCGGCATCTCCTCCTCGAGCCAGCGCAGGTACCCGCAGTACTCGCCGGGAGCCGCCGCCGCCGCCGTCGCGGGGACGACAACCGCGTTCCACACCGACTCGTAGGACGGGTACACGTGGTAGTCCACGTCCAGCGCCATCTCGGCCGCGGTCCGAGCTGGCGACAGGCCGCCGCCGCCGGACCAGGTGAGATGCGGCGGCCTCTTCGCGAAACCGCCGCCGCCATGCCTGCTGCTGCTCCTCCTCTTCTTCGCGCGGTGCTGCTGCAGCTGCTTCCTCCGCCGCCGCCGCGTGCCCCACTTGGTCTTGCCGAGGGCGTCGAGGAGCGCGGACTTGACCCGGGCGAGGGCGCGCAGCACGCGGCCGAACCGCGGGTACACGTGCGACTGCAGGATCGTGCTGATCTTTGGCGAGATGCCGCTGGAGCTCGGGCGGAGCAGCGCCTCCATGTAGAGGAGTCGAGCTAGCTGGACGGCCGGAAGAATGGTGGCGCTGGCACGGCGGTGGAGAGATGCAGATGGTGGCTGAGGGGTGGAGGTGTGTGCCAATCGACGGCGCCCGCCGGTAGTGCTAGTCCAGGCCCTTTATAAGGACCAGCCTCCTCGTGTACGGAAATGTGTCACCGAGACACCGACTCACCGTGGCCTCCGCAGCGTCGCGTCGCAGCGATGCCACCGTATCTCCGTAGGGCGGAAACAGATATTATATCTATTATTTATCGGATAATATATCGTTAGTTTATGACGTTGCACTTGCATGGTAAGCAGTATATATTTCTGCTTCGGAAAATGGAATGCAGGGTTTAATTTGATCGGTCAATCAGGAATTCAGGATATCGTTATATCGTAGGCGTCCTAATTAATTGGATTTGGAGATCTTGTTAGCAATTTCTCTGCATGCACTGGTGTTGTCTTCGGTCAGCTATGGAAATGGAAATTTGGACTTAGCGATGGGAAGTGCGAGTTATCATCGCGCTTAGGCCTTTTTTTTTTTGGAAATAAATTATCCCCTTCGTCACCAATCTATATGTATCGAGAGGATCATCAAGCAAGATCTTAGGTGATTTAGCCAATTACTAGTAGATTATAGTGCACACAATGGAATATGGAATAATTATGGATCTTGCGAACAACTCAGCTCTAGTTGATCGTGTTTATCCTATTAGCATTTTTGTACGTTTATTAATAACGTGAACATGATGAGCTGCAGCAATGTTCAGTGTTGTTTGGCCGTGTAAATTAAAAATGTACGTTCGTAGAAAAACGAAACCGTGGTGCACATGCACGTACACACCAGACCAGGAATGTGGAATGTCTATGAATCCCCTCCTCGGTGAAGCCTTTTGTTTTGCTAATTGCTAAAGACAAATGGACTTTCCTCGCAAGAAAAAAAGAAGAAGAAGAGACAAATGGATTGATCAGCATCGGTTCAGAAAAATACGAGAAGATTGCACTACCGTCTGATCAACTCTGAACAATAATAGTGCTGCTGCTCTTAGGATTAACATCATGTATATATGGTGTCACTATCTGCAAGTTGGATTAGGGCTCAGCTGCGGCTCGAATGCTTGATAGCATTGTGTGCAGAACAGCTGGACCCCCTGGCTTGATGAAGCAAACAAGCAGCATCAAGCGGCCATCCTCGCTGTGATTTATCCCGTTTCAGCCTTTCAGGAGCAGCAGGAGCAGAGCAAGGAGGACGGAGAGTTTCTCCTCCACGGAACGTTGCGTGGCTTCTGCACACTGCCTGTTATGAACCCTTGTGGTCTGCGTTCTCCAATCCAATGAGCTCTGGTCTGTTCACACTTTAGAGGACACCGAGGATCCAACCTGGCCAGCCAGCTCCTGTCTTCTTCTTCCTCCTCCTGGCCACGGTTCGTTGCGGCCAGTCGTCGAGTGACAAGAGATCGATCGACGCCATGCATGCATGCATTACTGGCCGCGCTGCGTGCTGTGCATGCATGGATGGCTTGCGTGCGTGCGAGAGGCCCTGCAAATCCAGTTGTTAGGATACTCGCTCGCGCGCGCGCGCATGCATGCGATGGCTCGCTCTCGCCAAGTGCCATGCATGGAAGCGAATGCGAACTTGCGAAGCGGCCGGAGCCATCAATCATTCGTGAGCTGATGTTGCTTGGGCGCAACGGCGCGGGAGGGATCCCATTGCATCACCCGTGGATTCGTGAGTCGGACCTGCACCGGATCGGCGTCGGCGAGGTCCATCGATCATGTCATGCGCTCGCTCGCTCACTGATGGCTGCCGGCCTGCCGCTGCCGCTGCGGGCAGGCCACTGTGCGCGGCGCACGCCACGGTCGTTGTACGTTCACACGGCAGCGTGCGCGCGTACGCCGAGGGACCAGAAGAGGAATCCATCTAGAACGTCGCAGGGAACCTGCTCTACCTGCTGCATTGCCAACGGACCAGAGGTCCCCTGGTTGCTTCGCGTCAGTACGTTGTGATCTGACGACAGAATTCTCCTCCATTACTACGTGATGAGAGAGAGAGAGAGAGATGAAATAGAGGGGTCCCTGTCCGGGCCGCCACCAGAAGGATGTAGGCCTCAAGTAGCACACGTTTGTTTCGGAGAATTTTTTTATTTTTTAAATGAAATAATTTTCTACTAAATAAAAAATTACTAAAATACATTCTATCGCTAATTGAAGTAACAGGATTGAAACACAGCAAATTCTACCACTAACTATATATTGCTCCCTCAGTTTCAAATTATAAAATGTTTTGACTTTTCTAAGTATATAATTTTTACTATATCACTTAGATCTACACTATATCTACATATAGTAAGAATAATATATATGTACAAAAGTCAAAACGTTATATACTTTAGAACGAAGGAAGTACTTTTTTTAAGACAACTTTTACGCACGGAAATGAAGTTATATACGAAAATTCTAGCCCATCAAGATCTATAACTCTATTAGTTCATGATTCTTTTATATCCATCATTTTGCAACTAATATATAGTCGAAAAATGTTGTCAGTTAAAAAGTTATATAATTCAATGAGCATGTGTTTACACCAGAATTTGGAAGAAGGATTTCAGAGGCTTGAAAGCTCACAAAACCATGTCAGCAAGGGATCAATTGCGTGTAGATCGAAAACAACTGATTCGGATGAAGCACTAGAATCAGCTTTCTTCAGATAGCGCTAGCGGATAACGACAGAAGTTATGATCGGCGCCGGGACGAGACATGCTGGACTCTACAAAAAGAGAAAGATTAGAGTCAAAGTTATCTTAAATTAGGAATGTTTTTATTTTTATGTCAAAGATTGTAACAAATCGTGCTCGAGTAGGATTCATGTCTAGACTCCGGGTATAAATATCAAACCCCGACTATTGTAAAGAGGACACAATCAATCAAATACAAGTCAATTTACTTTTTCGGCTCCAGCCACCCCTTAGGAGTAGGAGTAGAGTAGATCTCGGCGAGTTCTTCAGCGAGTACGGCTGCATCGATCCTGTCGACCTCCACTGCTTGTCTGTAAGTACCGTCATGGTTTATACCTCTGTTCGTATGGCTGCATCGATCCGGTCGACCCCCACTGTGACTCTGGTATAGGCTAGTTATCGACTCTTGCCTAGTTCAAGTATGGCCTGTGTGATTCTGCCTCACACCCCACTGTTTGAACTAGATCAAGGTCAAGTTATCGGTTCTACCTTTGAATGGCAACCTTTGGTAGATTCATTGAGTTACCGATGTTGCTTATTGCTTTCATTGTTGATCTAATTACAACAATATCACTCTGCCCGATTGAGATTGATCTGGATCGGCCTTATATCTTGTTTAACCCATCGTTTACTAATCTAAAACTGATCTAATCTACATCTTAAACGATGAGTTATGTTTTTATCGGCTGTTTTATATCAATCTTAATTGTGCATAGTGTGCGGTTAAGGCATGTTCGATCTTGAGTAGATCTATTGATTAGCGAGAACCGTTCCATGGCCCGTTATCACGGCCTGTGGGATTCTGCCTCTCACTGTTAGCACCGTGGAGTGGGGATCGTTAGTTGATAGATCCATTTCTAAAAAGGCATGACCTTAACTGTGCGCTATGCCTGAATCGGCTGTTTATCCGATATCGAGTGCTTTCACGAACAGTTCACGTTACGAGACTGTTGAAGTAGGGATAAGTTGAAAGACATGTTAGCCCCATGATCTTGTTATTGTATTACGGCCTGCATGATTCTGCCTCATGCTCCACTGATATTAGTAATGAGTTAGGGTCGTCGAGTCTATTGTTATTTCTACGGCCTGCATGATTCTGCCTCATGCCCCACTGGTCATGACGATAGATAAGATCTAACATGTTCATTAGATTTATCTTTATTAAATGGTTAAGTGGTGTTGAATTATTTCTTTATATAAAAGGGGTTCGGTTACTTGTAATCATTGGCTCAGTTTAAACCGATCATCGTTGATATCTTATTGCCTTTGATTAATTTTGCTCGAATTATGTTTATCCTGAATGATAACCGATTCTTCTTACACAACCCCATGAGCTTTAACCGATTTATTCTTATGAATATGCTGGAATCGACTATTTAGTCGATTTCCTCTCATATCGGCTTTCAGAGCCGCACATTTGGGACTGTCTGGCAACACCGGCACGTTCCGCCCTTAATTACTGATAAGCTTTCTCTCCTTGTCAATTGTAGGGTCAAATTGACTGGCATGTCTTGGGAGGATTGCGCAGGATCGACCACCCTTGCGCTGAAGCTAGGTGGATCTGCTCCATCGAGCGGACCCTTCCGGCTTGCTGCGTGTGTCCTCAGCACGGAGACAGAAATTTTGTGTCGACACACGTTTCTGGCATGCCCGGTGGGACACCACAATCATCATGGCGGTTCACAACAACGACAACATCCTTATGGTACAGTATGAAGACCTACCTGATGAAGATAAGGATGCCTTCAACAAAGCCACAGAAGAATTTCAGAAGAAGTGTTTGTTGTCCTACACCAAAACACGTGACAGCACAATTATTCAGAAATTTCCACTACCAAGAGTTCTGTTACACGGACAGACAGATACAGTTGAAGCTGAAGACAGGCGTTTCTTTGCAGAAGCCATAGACAAATTTGTTCGTGATGCTCTATCAAGCCGCAATGAAACTTTCGTTGACGCATTTCACAACGCCATGAAAGAGGCAATTCATAGAATTCCAGTTAGTCAGGTTGGATCGACTTGTTGCAACATTCCAGATCCATTGACCCAAGGGACTAATCAAGTCGGCACCAGCCATCAAGAAGCAGCACCAGCTGGTAATGGTGACATCCAGGCGCTTTCGGGTTCGTCTGAACAAACTCTAGGTACCACTACGAATCAGATGCAGTACAGTCCTAGACCGTCGATATAGCATGTGCAACAGCCGGCGGGGCAGAGTCAGAACCAGATGATCAATTTTGGCACATCAGGCCACATACCATCGTC